TTTTTATTTAGTGTTCTGTCTGCCGACAGGTCCATATGAACAGGATCCTTCCATCCTTTGCTCGGACTGGGACCTGTTCATATACGTTCTTGGCAGATGATCCAGAAGTGGTTTGCCATTGCCTTCTTCTGTGTGTGTGAATGGAGTAATTGTTGGGATGCCACGGAGAAACCGTACTATATTAACATTTAATTTTAATATAAAATATGCATGTTTACACTATGAAGGACACTAATGCCTAAAGCGTTTCGACCTCAAGAGGTCATCATCAGTGGCAAAAAAACAAGTTAAATCTTATAATAGAAATAAAAAGATTATGATTTTTTTTAACAGAGCATGAAGGTAAATTCTTTACAAAACCAAATTTAGTAACACTTCACTGGATGTTGACACTTTTTAGTACGCGAATCCATATAATATATTAACATTTAATTTTATTTAAACCTGAGATATTGTTCACGACTCGCACATGTGGATACTTCTCAAATAATCAAGTCATAAGTAATTTTATTATTCACTTATTTAGACATGTAAATATTTATATTATGTTATTATATATACATATGTTACATTTCTTGAGTTGTCCAATCATTTGAGTGGGGTGATAAGTGTTGTTATTGGACAATACTAATGCACAAAATCATGTCTTGCTTTTTACGTGGAAGGTTAGTTCAGGAATCCCGCATTCATAGGGCCGAACGTCGTGCTTAGGGTTGGTATCCTTGAGGGATCAACGGTTGAAGTTAGTCACGTAGCATTATTTGCCTAAGAATTTGAAATAAATAAATATGGCGAAGACTTGAGACTTGATGGTCGTATCTGGTAAATTTAAGTTAGTCGACATCTGAATTGGTGGAAACAATGCAGGAAATGGATAATATTACATGTTATTGTTATTAATTTGTAGTTAATATACTACTTCGCCGTGTAGGTTGAATTATTTGAAGAAGAGTTGTTGAAATGAATTAATTTCACACATCATTTTGTGTGGTTTGTACTTATGCACAATTTCTTCAGAACATTTTCAGTTATTTTCAGAAGTTTGGGATGGATTATATATCCTCGGAGCCAATTTTCCGTGCTAGAGCGAAATTCCCAAGTTTCTTTCTGATTATCAACCCCCCCACCCCACCCTTCGAACCAATTCTCGTAGGTGTATAAAAACAATGGCGCACACGCCATTATCAGTGCTCGAAGCGAAAAAGCTACTTTGTTTAAGCATCGATTTTCAATACCTGTTCACTCACCCCTCACCCTTTCTACGTAGTTTTATTCTTAAAACAACCCCTACCTTGAGAATTTCATTTTTCGAGTAGATATAAAATTGTCCTGTTACAGGAACCCTCCCAGATATTATTCTTTGTAACTCTGAAAACTCACGGTAAAATACTTACGCATTGGGTTAGTTTTTCTCAAATGTTGCATAAAATTTTTCATAACAAGCTGTGATTGGATGTCTATTGATGTGTTTCGCATGTTATCTACGTTACGTAATTTTCCTCAGGTCCAGAAGCAGGGAAATCATTATTTTAGTTGGAGATATTATGTTTTTGGGGGCGGTGAGGATGATGAAATTAATCTTTTGGGTTTTGCGTCTTGTAGATGTATCAGCAGATACTAATGTTTTGAATAAACGTGCTGTCTTCAGCCCTGAAGATGGATACAGTATGTTCCCCTGAAACACCAACATATACCGTCGAGTCTACATGATGCCAAACCCCAGAACTACAAACAACATTATTTTAGTTGCGTGTTTCCATAGGACCTACTGAAATCACGACACTTCATCCGTCTTCGAGATTAAGTCCATCACCTTCTGGATACTTTCCCTTACTGACCACTGTACTGAAATGTGGTATTCACGTTTACAAGTACAGAGCTGGTATCCTTGCGGAATATTGCGTTGTATAGTCTTGTAGAAGTTGACCGACGTTTCAGAGGTGCTTACACAGCCTTCGTCACCCTCTGAAGATTCTATAACCTTCTATGAGATTATATGAAGAAATATTCAAGACGACTGTCATGTTTACTCTGCAGGGATGTTAGGTGTCTGGACTGACGTGGTCTATAATTAAGTCCAGTGACATCGTCTGTCTTGAACCTTCGTTATCAACAACAAGATATCAGTATGGAATGTCATTGTATTATATTTGTATCCAAGAATTCATGTAATTTCTAAATATTTCATAATAAGGAACAATTTCTATGTTACGAATCAAATATTGTTTTAATAGTATTTTACACGTTTGTTTGACACGTGGTATGGATCTTTAAGGGCTCCCTCAGTTGGTATTTGTAGTATTTTCTCGAACTCACAGAATGATGGTTTTCGTACTTTTAGAATGCCTTGCAGTGTGAATCAGTGGTTAACCTGAAATTCCGGTTGAGTGAGCAAAGTTTTCCGGCCCGACTCCTTTCTGGAGATGAGATCAGTCGCTTCACTTTTTCAACCTCGCTCCTCTTCGTCACGAGTATGATGACCCAGGTGGCGTTACAAATTAATGCGGACGCGGAGTGAAGTAGGGTGGCAGAGTTGCTCGTTGTGTTACGGGGTCAAGCTACTTCTCATCTGTGGTCATAAAAGGAGCCTTCCGCGTTAAATATACTTGCACACTGCCAATAGACTTCTTTCCGAGTTTCTAAAATCCCGACGTGTTCATGAACATGTCTGTATCATGTGTACTGATTTCCGAAGTATAAACAAAGAATTTTTGATTCAATTTAGCGTTTCATAATCTTTTAGTTTTCACAATATACGTGATTCAGAAGTTGGGCATTTCGCTGTTGAACAAACCCGTAATTAATAACGTGTTTAATTGAAATATTAACAGCAGCAATTCCATGGAACACAATTTATCCTGGGAAGCCAGTAGCATGTTCACATAGACAAGAAATTCCCCGCCCTTTACAGAAACAGAATATTTATTACCGTGTACATACAAAGCCGCAGTTGATTCTTATCGCCAGCCATATTTGATTACGATCAATTTTAATATTAAATTTCGAGGTACGCCTAGGTATTCAGTGCGGTATTTTTCCTTTCAGGGCCCCTATCAGAGAATGTACGCATTTTTCATCAGCCACACTTGTGCTGTTTACCTTTCGTATCGTTTTCGATTTGACAATCCAAACAATATTTGGCTGACACTACAAATGATGTTTCTGAGGTCTAAGACCTTTGATATCAACAACTTCCCTGTGAGCCACATTTCCGGTTGATCGTAGTCTTTTAAAACAATTGAATGTTGTTTTTATTATTGTTGTTGATATTACTATTAAGAATTTAATTTATTTTTTTCTGTTTTTGTTTTTGTTTATCAAAAAGTTCTTTTCGTGTACTTTAAAGTCTAAGCCTTCCAACTTCCATGGAGATTAAAACCTCGTTCTCTTTTGTATCTGCGAGAGGACTTTGTGTTTGTAAGCCGGGATGTAGTTCAGTTAGTTAATGCGAGTTTAAACGACCGTGTAAAGACTGTGACCAACCGAACATAGACTTTTCCGGTATCGTTTAATAGGGGCGTATTTTTTTTGTAGACTGCTGCTGGAATTCGATTAGCTAAACTACAGAACGGCTCCAAACGTCATGTAAACTTATTATTTTGTTGGTTTTAATTCCTCGAGTTTTGCTGGTTTCGCTATGAAAATGCCCTTGAATTATTTTGTCTTAGCTACGGTATTGTACTTTTCATAGGAGCATATTTTGCGGGACTTCTGTGTAAATCCAACATTTGTTATATGTTACAATCCAGAGGACTAACATCCATGTGTTGCTTGCTGTCCGTCTCCCGAAAATTCGACCGGGATCTGTAATCTCTGTCGTCCTTTCGCAAAGATCAGCATTGCTCCACGATTACTTCCACGACCGTGTCCGATCGGTTAATATTGTAAAATGTTCTCGTAAATTAAGTTTCTCATTCCAAGAGTACCAACCTGACGAACTATAAGTTGGCGGACGGGTTGTCACTTCAAGATTTCTACCCTTAACAAGAACGTGCCTTTCTTCAGGGTATCCACGCTAACTCAGCAAATTGACAAAAATTAAGTTTGCAATTAAATTGCGTCATGATTACTCGACATAGAAACTGAAGCGTTTGTCGTATGTTAAACTGTGACTCTTTCCAGTAACTTCTTGCTACGTCATGTTCTTTGAACATGAAAGAATGATTTAATCTCGCCGCGTAACACAGAGAAGCTTTTACAAAAGAATTAGGATTGAACTGACTTGATTGTTCCCTTGTGTGCACGGAACATCCATCCATCCTGTCTGTACATCATTAGCCATCAGAAAGATGAAACCTCTTTGAGTCGTGGTTGAATCCCACAAGAGGATTATATTCGGCGATTTAAAAAAGATGGTTTACAGAACTTTTGAAACTTAGTAACTTCCGTTATCGCCACATGATACGTTGTGATACTGTATGCAGTAACGTGAGCATCAACTTGTAATGGGATGATTCCATATCCTTTCAGAGCAAATAAAATAATGGGTTGGGAGGTCTTTCGTTAACTTTGTAAGACTTCCGATCTGTGCATTTTATTCTTTAAAGTTTACTTAACGACGCTC